ATCAAAGAATTAGATTCTATAAATTAGAAAATATAAAATATAAAAAGACAATTATATTTAAAAATACAACCTGAACTTAAAAGGAAAGCCAACCAATCATATTTCTTGTCATCAGGAAGTGATTTTAGCAAATAAAATTGCTCAGGATCACCATTTAATAACAATTGGACTGCCTTGAATATTTCTTGTTGAGAAAGACCCAAAACTGTTGATACCACTTCATATATCTCTTGACCACTTGGTTTCTTTTTCAAGTTCATGTACTCCTTGAGTGATGAAGCAATGTCACCAACAATAGCAACCAATGGATCTTTCCTCCGTTTCTTTTGATGGGACTCTATCGTAGATGATGTGGAAGGCTGTGTTGGTGGGGCAGCAGGTGGTATTGGGTACTCTACATCATTTTCATCCTCTCCCACCATTGCTTCATCAGCATCTTCAAATGTTTCAGCACCTTCACCGGTTGCTCTATCTGTCCCACACAACATAACAATATCATCCCACCTTTCTATAGGTCTATTTGCATATACATTTGCCTTTCCATTCTCCTGAACATAGTCTTTCCATGCTGACATATTATCTGCTGTTATAACAATCATCTTCTTTTCTTCATCCCATGGAAACCCACTTTGATGGCTTTTGATTTCACTAATAATAGAGAAATGTTTTCGCCATTGTCTTACTTTATTCTTGACTTGCTCCTTGGTTACATTAACGCTCAATGATTTCGCAAGATAATCCACAGCTGCTTGGTAAGCTTGAGGCTTCCAATCTTTATCAGTTTTGAGGCCTTGAGATAAAGAGTCATACAGTGAAATAGCTAAAATATTATCCATTTCCTTTGTCCATTGCATGTACGTCCTAAAAACACCTTCTACTTGACTTTTTGATTTTCTTTTTGCTCCTGTTAATAACAGAACACATATATAGTTAAAATTTAACCTATCTCAGATTCAAAGTATAACAAGAAGAATATAAAAGAACAGAAAAAGAAACCACGTGAGAAGAAAAATCCACCGAAGCCAGTTTGCATGATGTGCCGTATAAATGTAAATAACAATCAAAACTAAATTATCAGGGCATCAGTCATTATCCAAAAATTGCTTAAAAATTTTGACAAGGCAAACTAGCTAGTTGCAGCTATTATTTAATAGTCAGTTAATCAAATTCCATTAGCTTTATTTATGCATAACAACAGTTGTATTATTTAGTCATCTAATTTTGTCTTTTTAAGTCATACACACATGTAAATCGTGTTTTTGTTTTTTTATTTCTATGAGGAGTATACCTACAGAACTCATTACATTCATTTCACGGCTTACAAGTACAAAACTAGACTAAAACCCACGTAAAATTCAGCCTCTGCATTGCCACAGCACTAGATGCTTCATTGACCATTGTTTGCATGTTGATTCTTTGTTGAATCACTAGATTTCTTTCTTCTGGTGATTGATGCATTTGGAAATCATTTTGATCATCTGGTCATTAATTATTCAATATTTCAATCCTAATTTTGAAGACAGGCAGATTAATATTCTCATGATGCACTAGGGCATTCCACCTTTAGAAAGAATGACACTCTAACAGCTAAAATATTGTCTAATATATAGACTTTATGGCCAAATGACCACCATGTTTTTTTATTCGGATAATGATCTGCCGAAATTTTCAAGTAATTGTCCATGTCTAAAAAGCAATCTGCTTTAACTCTGTACTCCTTTTTTTTTTTTTTTAGACAGAAACAATGAAGTAAACCAATGACAACTTTGATTAAGGATCAAGAGAGGAACTGAATGCAGACAACAACTGCAATTTTAAGATAACTAGCAAGGAATAAGGATGTGGAGATACGAGGAAGTACATGAACTGTGTAGGAATATGGTCAAGATTTGAACTTGTAAG